AGAACTATTCACAATGGTCTTTTTGGTCGTGTGAATAACATTACCATGTGTTCTGCTTACCAGTTATATATATATATATATATATATATATATATATATATATATATATATATATATATATACACACACACACAGTGTGTATGTGTGCGTATAGTTAAAGACAAACACGCTAAATATGCCGCTCCTTTGAAAACACTGCCTGCTGTTTAACATACACGCAAAAGACTTTCTCAATGTTTTCTTCCCTGCCCCCACCATCTTGTACGCCCAAAACGCAAACGGTTGGAAGATAGATGGAAAAACATGGGCAGCAGATGAAAGCTACAAACAGCGATAGAGAATGGATCCTAGCCTTCAGAGCCCGGCTGGAACCAACAGAAAAATAAATTCTCATCAATCTTGGAGTAGAAGAGAAAATTGGGTATGGTTACTTAGAACCTACGGGTTAAAAAAAAAAAAAAATTAAGACATTTAGTTTGGCTTTTGAAAAGGCTTTTAAAATTAACAGTGACAGTTTGTTTTTTACTTCAATTAATCCTATTTTAATAAAATTAAATAAAATAAAGTTTTAAAAAGCGAAGAAAAATGCAGTTTCGATAGAAAGTAAAAATACATTAGACTTGAAATGTACGAAGCATGTGAAAATAAAGTGCACTACCCGACCCAGTAACCAAAATCTGACCAAACAGATTTTTTGAAGGGGGGGGGTCTTCTAGAAACAGGTGAAGTTTTCCGCATCCACTTATAATGCATTACTGCACCATTTCACAACCTTTCAAGATTTTAAGGAATAAAAGCAAAAATATTTAAAAGTTAACTGACAATAATCTAGATGAGATGACTAACTTTATTATAATCACATGCATAACAAAAAAAGATTATTATTGGAAAAAAATATTAACCTACATAGCTTATTTATATCCCAGCATTTTACTGTTTATCAGCGAGTAAATAACATTTTTAACAATACTGGAATTTCGTTAAAAATATTTTATATCTTTTAGCTTGAAACGAATCCCTTTCAAGTCATGTTGCTTACAAATTTGGAAATAATCTCTAGGTTATTACGTGCTCATTCCTTTTTTTTTTTTTTTTTTTTAGTGGGGAGTGTGACAGAAAGGATTTATTTTTCATCATCTCTACTAACCAGGCATTGCTCCTACTAGGAAAGTTGGCTCCCTGTGTCGTGCTAACCAAATTTTCTGTCCAGAGTCTATCTTACATATATAAATCTACCATTCGTCCATGCTTCGAATATTTTTATATCACATATGATCTGATACCCCCTGATATAGATTTACAGATTCAAAAAGAATCTGCAATGTTATTGGTCCTGACCTAGCATCTCGGCTTCAGTCTTTTTCCCACCACCGTACTTTCAGGGTAATTGTCCGGATGACCTCTGCTCGATGGTACCTAGGCTTTATACGCAGTACTAGACTAGCAACAAGATCTCATTATTTTACAGTTTAATTGGCTAGAGGCAACCGTAAGTTCTTTGCTAGCAGTTTCTTCTCACCCGAGGAACTCTTCTTAACCACAACCCCCACAAAACAGCCTTCTCAAAGATTTACTATAGTTTCATCACCTACAAAGAAAGCAAACTTTGATCTTTAAAAATTTAAATGCAATGAATGATGTAATGAATATGCATACACCTGGGTTCCCCCTCACAATAATATGATTGGCTGGTGTCAGCCATAAATACAGACGCCTATTGCCTACCTCTACGACGAGGCCAGTCCTTTACGGTTACCTGCTAGATTGTCCTACCCGGTTACAGTAGTTCAAAACCACTTTGCTACTTCGAACAAATATATCCCTTTCCGGGACATATCAGTTACTAAACTTTATCTACTGTTGATTCCTTTTATTGTTCTCACTTAATGCTTTACTTATTCTTTCACACTCAGTAACCTCTTGTGTCTTAGTGGCTTTATTGCTAGGTGCGAAATGATTTTTTTTTTTCATTCCAAATCTGTTTATATTAACTGGCACAAACTCCAAGATAAAATAATCACGTCACATTTATCTTCAACGACACTACAACCGAGGGTGTGATGAACAGTTTAGATATTACTCATGATCATTGTTGGTTTTAAATTCAGCGTGGTTGAAATGAAGATATCGCGTGTTTTACTTGCAACCCCCGTACAAAAAAAAAAAAAACTTATCGAAGCCTTACGATTATGGCGATTTCTGGGGTCTTCTCTGCACTGATTCAGTCGACCTACAAAGATAGATAAAGCCTAACACTTGCTTATAGAGCTGAAATCGAGCTTACTAACACCATGCACACAAATAAATCCCCCATCATGTTAAGTCAGTGATTTATGAATATAAGTATAGTTGTGGACTCGACTGCTAGGGTGGACGTCTCAACATTTGGACCCAAGAATAAAGCAACACTTACCCCCCAGGATTTTTGAACGTCAAACCTCTCTCATGATGCCAGGAAAAAGTCAACTAATACAGTTCTGGCTCTTCTATTGCAGAGCTCACTATATATGTTTTATGAATAGTAGGAATTTTGTCTTTGATTTTGCGAGGTTGGACCGTTTTTCTATTTTATCGAGATCCCACAATATCTCTGGTCTTAAACTTTTATCACATACAAGGTTTTAGAGTCTCTTGTATATCAGATCCAGAGCCTTCCTCTGCCAAACAGAGGGGAATGCTTACTGGTCTGAATGTTATTGGACTCTAGCATTCTTGAAATTCATATTTTTTCCTCCATTCGTTATCTTTATTAATTAAATTTATGGCATATGCTTCCTCTCTATTTATTTTGTATATCCCAGAAATAAACTTGATAAGGCTGGGACAAAACCGGTTGTTTTTTGGGGGGGGGGCAGCTTTTAAAATATATATTAAATGCCATATAAATTATGCTTATTTCTAGCTATCCTTAAATTTTGTACTACAAAAAAAAAATCTTATTTAAATAAATAAATGAAATTAAAGTTAGCGCTCTTGAAACTCGGATACCACATGTACATCTTTTAACCGCACCCCCCCCACAAACTTCAAAGATTTACTATAATTTCATCACCTACAAAAGAAAGATAAAGTCGAAAATTTGTTTGTATAGCCAACGCTGAAATCGTGCTTGCTAACATCATGAATACAAATAAATAAACTGGATTTTTCAGTAAGCCCACACATGGTCAGTATAAAGTGGGTTTAAACGCAATACCAATGAAAAAATTGCTGAAGTCCCTCACCCCTACACTTGCTCTTTTTGGAGACGTAACGACCCAGCCACCTCCCGAAGAGAGCACAAATAAATAGATGCAACATATAAATAGATGAAACATCAATAAATCCATAAGCACGTCACGTGGGACACTGGCTTCAGAATATTATCTAATTCTGATATCTCGAGTGCAACAACATCCAATTCACTTACCATAAACAAATACCGATTCGTTTGGAGTATATGCATCGTTTTCAGCAGATGTGTCCGCGACTGCTTCCCGATAGAAATAAAAAAAAATAAGTAAAAACGGACTGGGTGTTTACTCAGATTTACCGAACTCTGACCTTACAGTAGTGAGGCTCCCAATAAAAGGTCGAAATTAGTACATATGCTAAATAGCAATATAATTAGCGTAGCTTAGACGTGGCACAGGCACCCAGTGAGAATCGAACTCAGTCTTGATTGATCTAGCGAGATCATCTTGCTAACCGTTTCACCACGTCGAAGTGCCTCTCCCCCCACCCCCAGTAGATAAGATATAGTCCTAAAAAGAGGCATGCTATCAAACGAGGATGAACAGTCTTTCTGGTCCCGCGTCGTGGTCAGACACCCATTCGTGTCAGTGTGAACAAAAATTGGGGAGGGATATTAAAATAAAGCTATGACGATAATAAAAAAAAAAAAAAAAAAAGAGCTTGTTTTAACCCCTTTTCTTCCGATACTTGGGCTATTTCTTGTTTCGAGTTCTGTCCCCTATAACCAACGGCTGGACGACTCCTCACTCCCCTTACTTAATCCGTGACGAAACGGACGACCGACTCTCTCTATGAGTACGTATTGCTTATCACTTCTAACGGACGGATCCCGAAAGTCCCATGTTAGAACGCGACCTGATTATATAAATCCACCAGCGGAATTCCTTACCTTCCAGCCGAATGCCACTTGATCATGAAAATTTTTCTTTACTCACTCATTTCCTTTTCTGTGAACAATTAGTGGTTGCTTTAAAAATACTCATTTTTCGATTTTACAGGAAGTTACCAAAATACCATGCTTCAGGCCCAAATAAAAATCGTTTCTGTACATTGACAACGCGTGTCCCGAGCCACTCGAGCAGGGGCACAGACAGAAATGGTTCTAATTCTTATATTTTGTAAATATCCTAATTTTAATGCAGAATTTAAGCTATATTTACTTGCATTCCGAACTTCGTACATGGTTGAATCATGTTGAAATGCAATTCTAATTAAGCAGTTAAAACAGATTGAACCTGGAAGAGCGTGTTGACCAAGTAAATTTCTCACCACTTTCCAACTAAATATAAATGCCATTACTCAAACACAGACTCTTTTTTTTAATGACGTCAACCAATTCATTAAAAACGTATAATTTATTTTTAATGTATTTACTTAATTATTAATGAAGTTCCCCCCCTCATTTGTAATAAACCCGTAGAGTACAAGAGAAATAGAAACTGAATAAGGAATAAGAAAACGTATAGCTAAAAATGAATCTTACCGGGAAACAAGGAAAGAAAAAGGCAAAGGATTACCTATCTTGATATTAAAAAGAAAAAAGTGTACACGCCTGAATGTCGATGGTCTAAAAAGTTTTGGGACTCCTAGAAAAAGTATCTGGATTTAATATTAAGATACTTGACCGATATAAATGGAAGAATAATTACCTTTTATTGTTATGAGTTTCCGTTTTTCTAAATAGTTGGGGAGAAGAGAATTGAAGTAAATGAAATGTAGTTATGTCGAGAATACCATGGGCTGGACACGTGAGCAACAACGAGATTTTAGAGAAAATAGTAACGAGAGAGAGATATAGATAGATAGATAGATATGGATGGATGAATGAAAAAGGCAAGAGATAGATAGAGAGAGATATAGATAGATAGATAGATATGATAGAGATAGATAGATAGATAGATAGATAGATGGATAGATAGATAGATAGAGAGAGAGATAGGGGATAGAGATAGAGATGGGGATGGATGGATGGGGATGGAGATATGGATGGGATGGATGGGATGGATGGGGATAGATAGAGATAGATAGAGATGGAGATAGATGGGAGATATGGATGGGGATGGGGATAGAGATTGGGGATAGATGGGGATGGAGATGGGGATGGATGGGGATATGGGGATGGGGAGAGATAGATGGATGGGGATGGATATGGGGATGGATGGGGGATGGGGATGGAGATATGGATAGATGGGATGGGAGATGGAGATGGGATGGATATGGGGAGATAGATGGAGATGGGATGGATAGATGGGGATGGATAGAGATAGATAGATGGGGATGGGGATGGAGAGATATGGATGGGGATATGGAGATATGGATAGATGGATGGGGAGATAGATGGATGGATGGGGATGGGGATGGATGGGGATGGGGATAGATAGATAGGGATAGATATGGAGAGATGGAGATAGATGGAGATGGGGAGATAGAGATATGGGGAGATGGATGGGGATGGGGAGATAGAGATGGATAGATGAGGAGAGAGATAGAGAGGGAGAGATGGGGATGGAGAGAGATGGGGATGGATGGGATGGGGATGGATAGAGAGATGGGGATGGAGATGGGGGATGGATGGGGAGATGGATGGGGATGGGGATGGATAGATATGGAGATAGAGATGGATGGAGATGGGGATGGATGGATGGGGATGATAGAGATGGGGATAGAGATAGATGGGGAGAGATAGATAGATAGAGAGATAGAGATAGATAGAGATAGAGATAGAGAGAGAATTTCTATGGGGTATTTAATGATGGGGAAATGGGGACTTGGGGAAATTTTGACACACGCAGGATATATTTTCGCGGGAAATAAGAGGCTACAAAGCATAGAAATTTGTGGAGACCCATGATCGCCAAGGTCCTGAAGGGATACGGTGCAGAAAAGCAACTTAGATATTTCATGTCCACATTTGGAAAACCGATTTAGAGAAACAATATCCTCTTATAATTATGCTGTTTCCTTCCGTTGATTAGTTGGCACAACCGTTACAACCAGTCAACACCTCATAAATAATGAACTATCCCGTTTTGATGGCGTGGAAAGAAACGTGAAAGAAACGTTTAACGTCTCCTGTCAGTACTTGATAAATTCACTTTTGATTACGTAGTAAAACAAAACATCAGAGACGCTACTTGGTTTCAGTGAGAAAATAAATGAAAGTGAAATGGAAAAGTTGTCAATTTTAAATCTTTTCATTTGCACCCACTTAAAATAATGACCAGCATTCCAATTTTTGATGGTTGAGTTTGATTAGCGGAATATCAACCTCTATGGGTTCTTTGATGCTGAAATCTACATATTTTTAATGTAATTTTATGCTTTCTACTGCAAATAGTTTGTGCCTAAGTTTTTCCTTGAAAGTATAAATCTTTTTTTTTAGATATATAGTTTATCGATCATAAAATGTATTGTTGGTAATTTTATTATAATAGTGTTGCATTGAATGTCAGTTTTCTATAAAAATCCATTGTTGATCTTTTTATTATAAAAAAAAAAAAAAAGATTTTTTTTTTTTTTTTTGGTGGGAGGTCACTATTTGCCCATAGCTGGGACCCTAACGACTAGGGTGAACCTGAGAACAGCAATTAAGAGATTGTTCCACGCTCCTCAATCAAAGACCTTGCTGCTGGACGTTGTTTATCGCCATACCCAGGACGTTTTGATTATTGCAATATTTTGTTATGAAGCTCAAATATTTAACTGTGATAGGAGACTTTCTACGGATATTTTATTGCCGTAGAACTCGCAATGGGCTTAATCATTAACTTAAGAATTAAGATTCATCAGAATATTCAAATAGGAAAAACCGAAATTTTCACGGGTCTTTCTCGTTAATAATTTTCTTAATAGTTTCCACAAACAAATCAAATCGTTCTTCAAAGCTGAAAAAAAAAAAAAAAAAAAAAAAACAACAAACAAAGAAAACTCGGTGGCATTTCCGACAGGCTGCGTAATAATTATATCAAATTAAGAATTTTAAAATAAAAAAAAAAAGCAAATCTATTTCTATCAGGTTGTCAGCGTGATTTTTTTATTTTGTCGTTTACGGCATATGTCAGAAACATTTACTGAGGCAATTATAAATGGGTGAGCGACATAGAAGTTAAATAACACTAGCCTACACATGTTTTGGTGCAGGCCAACTTATGTTTTTAGCTGATTTGGGACGCCAAGACTGTGCGTCTCCTGTATATATGGAAAAAAAAAAAAAAGAAAGAGGCAGAAACATGAATGTTACACCCGATATTTATAATAGGATAATGAGAGTGTAATTGTATTTTTCTAAGTTATGAATGGAAACAATATAAAAAAAAAATCATTGGATATAAATCACTTTAAACTCTTTTTTTCGTTATGTTGGCACTTCGACGTGATGTAATGGTTAGCAAGCGCGTCTCGGTAGATCAATTACGATCGAGTAGCGAGTTCGATTCTCACTGGCTGTCCCATACTTTCGATCTTGTTCCACATTTAAGTTACGCTTAGAAAATCATTTATCATCGCCTCCTACTCACTTCAGGATTCACCATTTTATAAGGGAGAGAAAGGAGAAGAAAGGAGAAGAGAAAGGAGAAAGAAGAAGAGAAAGGAGAAGAAAGAAGAAGAGAAAGGAGAAGAAAGAAGAAGAGAAAGGAGAAGAAAGGAGAAGAGAAAGGAGAAGAAAGGAGAAGAGAAAGGAGAAGAGAAAGGAGAAGAAAGGGAGAAGAGAAAAGGAGAAGAGAAAGGAGAAGAAAGGAGAAGAGAAAGAAGAGGGGAAAGGAGGAGAAAGAAGAGGAAAGGAGGAGAAAGAGGAGGAAAGGAGGAGAAAGGAGGAGAAAGGAGAAGAAAGAAGAGAAAGGAGAAGAAGACATTTGTCCATATGATGGAATTTTTATACCATGGGTTTTAGTACGATCCCTGTGGAGATGTAGTATAAAGTGGATCTATTGACGATGGATGACTTTTTGTGGTGAACGAGTAAATTGTAATGAATGAATGGCTTGGGAATCTGATTAGCTAGGTTTAAGATAGCGAAGACCAATCTTACCCAACTTCGCTTTTGGCCTTATGCCACAATTGTATGAAAGTACAATAAATACACTTTCCTCATTATGTGCATTAGAGATTTCAACCATCTATGCACAGTGTCCCTTCAGGACCTGGACTATCATCGCTCTCAACTTTGTCCTTTTTAGCCCTTAGTAAAGTTTGTATTTTGCTATATATGCTAATCCCTTTTCTATCAACCACATACACAAGCTCGTTAGATAGGCTAGGCGCTGCTTTACTTTGTCCCTCTTGCCTTTGATATATCCTGCGTGTGTCAAATTTTCTAAACCCTCTTTCTTCATTGTGCGCCATAGAAATTTCAACTGTTTCTTTTTGAATTTATTTAATCGTTATCTACAATCTTCTCGATTCCTTTTAATGTTCTTTTGCTTATTCTTTCACTCAGTAACACTGTCATAGTGGCTTTATTGCCTTCCTTGGGGTGAAATGATTGCGAGAGGGGGAGATAGAAGGGGCCGCTATCCCAAGACGGTTACTGTTGTAGTAAAGAAAATAAAAAAAAAACTGTAAACTTGTAGTAGCAATAAACACCGGCAAGAGGTTTCTTCTGTCTTTCGGCCGCAATACTTGTAGCGAAATTACAGTTCAAACGATAGTCCATCGTAAGAGTCCAACAGCTAACGTAGAAACGACAAAAATGGCGTCACAAATCCAACTTTTATTTCTCACCAGCAAAAAACGTATGTTTGTCCAAGCTCAGAAAGAATCTTTCTCCCGTAAGCGAAAAACACCAGTTTTTATTCGTCAAGATAATTTTTTGATTGGCCACGCAATTCAGGGGAAGAAAGAATATTAGCATAGATTCTTATACTCAAAGTAGATTTTTTTGCTAACTACTTGTTTGAATTTTTCCTCGGCATAACACGAACTCTTTTTCGAGGTAGGGATTATCTCTTTCATTAGTTACTTTGTGCGACAGACTCCTGTGTGGATGCTTCCCTGACAACAACAATTTTGATTTCTTCACGCCCAGGGTCAACCTATAGCTATCCTACACGTCCTCATAAGATGCACTCTTCCTTTACAACAAACTTATTTAATAACCGTCTGGATCTTGTATCGAGTGAACTAATGTAGAGTAGCTTTTATCACTCTTTCTAGTATTGAGGGGGTGGGTCTTTCCTAACCTTTTATTTATTTATTTATTTTTTTTTTCTCCTTATAAAAAAAGACTAAAAATGGTGAATCCTGAAGTGAGTAAAGTGCGAAAGGTCAACATCGTTATTATATCATTATTTTCTCTCAGAGTTACAGTGCTATGTATTTTTATCTTTGCTGCTTTTAGTAGTCCTCAAATGATGTGGTTTCTGTTATTTGGTATAGTTCTTTGTGATTACGTAGCGCCAGTTCTCAATACTCAAGGAAGGATGACCATCACCAAGATCCTCAAGGCCCAAAGCCTTTTGATCATGGAAACGGTTGTAAACAGTTGACATCTCTGAACAGGTTCGGCGCCATACATGACATTCATATCAAAATCTCGATCTGACGAGGCTGTTTAAGAACATGTTGAGGTTTTATAACAATTTTTGTAGTTGGACGAAGATATCTTTGGCGCAGCCTATTCTATATGTTCAGGTTCTTTTTCTGCTACATTTTTTTATAACTAATCCATACGCCGACGTATCTGAAGAGTTTAGTATTTACTAATTCCATCTAACTTTTTTTTTTATGATGGATTCAGGGTAGGTACCATGACTGCTTTCATTTCATCGATTCTGTTTTGGAAAGAATATCTGGAGTCGCCTTTCTTGAAAGACTTGGTAGATGTTTTTCTGTAAATGCCCATTCTTACCACAACTATGAATAGAGCACCTCTAGTCGGTGTGATGTTTAGCAACCTTATCTCGCTACAACAATTACGTCTGAATAGCGAGTTCGATCCTTACGGGGTGCCCCATACTTTCGGCCTTGTGTTACATCTAAGCTGCTTGGAAATATCACTATTAGGATGCTAGTGCGCTGAGCTGTAAAATCATTTCTTCCATTACTACATTAACTAGTGGTTGGCAGTTTTTATTATGACGCCAACGATGAGCTTATTCGAAGTTATACTTTTAGTGTGCGAACAATGTTAAGGCTTCAGTTGATGCTATAAATAAACTACAAAAAAATCTTATTGCCTAAGTTGGCTACTATAAAGTTGGCGTTTGAAGTCAGATTTGGTCATTTTTACCTCTGGCAATCAAAGTGTTAATTTCCAAAAAATAATCATTTAACTTACAGAAACATTAGCTTCTAGAACTACTTTATAAGGCTAAGGAGCTTTTCTGTTAATTTACTCTAAATTAATGTAAAGTTTAGTCATTCAGTTATGTGCTATGCGTAACGTACGCTTAGGCGATCATGCATCTTTCGATACACGATTGACGAGGCAGATTCTTTTCCTCGCAGTAGGTTGCCATTTCTTTCTGCAGTAGGCCAGTTGCCATCCAAGGCTATAGAACTGTCTGTCCTACAATTTACCCATAGCTGGGGTGAGAAAAGGATTCATACCGTTCACAAGGGTATTAGCACGTAAGTAAATGTACCTATCCCAAATATCAATTCACCGAGAAAAAAAAAAAAAAAACTTTCAGGGTTTTTTTTGTTTTTTTTAATTTATTAAATTTTTGGCACTCTCTTGAAGTTATAAATTTTAATAGCTTGCTTCGTAGCAAATCCAACCCTCAATGAAAAATTACAAAAAAAAAAATAAATAAAATAATCAAGGAGTTATTGACATTTAAGTGCTGATGACATTCGAGGTACATACAAGGAATTTTTTACAATTTAAAAAAAAAAAAAAAAAAGGTCTGTTTTGGCTTGTTTATCGGGGTAAGCCCCTATATAGACCACGCACTTAAAAAGTAGCACACTAGAGTCGCTCATATTTGGGGCGATCGCAAAGGTCAACCCAACCAGAGTGCAATGGAAGGGCCTCGATATGGGCGAATTTGGTGTGAATTGGGGTAAATATACATTCTTATTTTGAGGTGAATTAAACACTAGAAAGCTCATTCCAGGAAGCAAGTACAACGAACACAAAGAAAAATTAATTTAAAATCAGAACGAAAAATAAAATAATGGCTAATAAAATCCGGAATCTTTAGAATTATGTAATGGTTAACAGCTCGAATTGAGGAATCGGAGAGCCGAGTTCGAATTTCAGTCGAATCCATTACATACATTTATGTGCTAATACCCTTGGGAAAAGTATGAATCCGCTTCTCTCCCCCTCCCCCAAGATATGGGTGAGTAGCAGGGTAGACAGTGTTCTCTAGCCTTGGATCGCAACTGGTCTACTGCAGAAAGCAATAGCAACCTAATGCGGGAAAAAAAGTCTGCTTCGTCTGTCATGAATCGAAGGAGGCATGATCACCTAAGCGTGTATCACGCATGGCACATAAATGACCGATATCTGATTGAACCTCGCCACATTTTGAATTGATTGAGAAACGACTTTTCATTTTGTAGCCTCGGGTCTGGAATTTAACCAGATCACCTGCACCAACAAGATAAAAAGCTTGGCTTATAGAAAGAAAGCACATGTAGAGCATTAAGCTTCAAAAAACATAGCTCTCAAGGGGTTCAAAATAAGAACGAAAACCACACAAACTATTATTAACAAAAGAAATGGTGTGGGTAATTGAAATCACACTTTGAACTCCTTGCCGTGGATTAAAAGATGAACAAAAGAGTAGTGAGTTTCAGCCACACTGTCTCCTTCAATTGTGGCTTTGTACCAAAACGAATCTATATTTGATATAGACCACACGTTTTAGCTTATTGATTTCCTCAAGAGATATATTGGTTGTTATCCAAATAGATTCTTTTTTTTCTCTTTTACAGTGATTGCTAGCGTGGAATGTTTACGTCTTCGAAGAGTTATTGCTGTAGTGCACAACAAATATTTCAGATAAAATATTTTAGCAGCTTAGATTTCTTCACTCCCTTCAAAACTTAAATATTTACACCAACTGCGGGTGTTAGCAATGTTTTGTTTTTTTTTTAATTTATAAATAAAACAACAAGTTGAAGTAGGTAGCATTTTTGCGCAGTTTATTTACGCCACATGTTTTCAAAACATTTCTTCACCTGTTATAATGGTAGTTTAGAATATTATTTTAAAATATTCCTTTAAAAGAAATTGCAAAAATACAAAAATTAATACCTAGACCGAGCCACTAAAAAAAAAAAAAAAAAAAAAAAAAAAAGTGGGGGGCAATTTTTATAGTTTAGCATACATTAGCGTAATTTTTAAATAAAGCATTTTCTCATTTGTACCATTTGCCGGTTTGAACTGGAATCAAAACTATAAACTACGAAAAAAAACGTGCTGCCGGGGATACTCGCCCCGCGACTAACGTGACAATGGTTACGGAGACTGGACAATTTCTGTTACACTCTACAAAATCGACCTTGTGTCAGATCCTGCCATCTTGTGTATTTGCGTGGGGGGGGGGTTAAGTAGATACCATCGCGTCTTGTGAACGCTTAGGTAAATGTAGCTTTTCACGGTATGCTAGTCACGTGTATACAAATCATTTGTAAGAGAACCGATGTTTACCTTTGATAATGGAAAGGAACGGTTTCGCTAGTAGACAAATAAAGTTTTTGGTACTACTCAACTGTATAAAAATGAACCAAGTATGTGTATATAGTACAGATGAGCAGTGCCGTGGAAAACATTTAATGCATAGTAATAAAAAAAATGTGGCGGAGGTCCCAAATTTTGGGGCTTTAGCAATAAATTTTAAAAAAAAAAAAAAAAAAAAGGATTTTTTTATCGATTTAAATTAACACTAATTTAAATCGATAA